GGCTCAGATTCCATCTTTGGCTGGAAATTGGCGGTGAAACTTGTAAAATACGACGTGTTAATTACCTCGAACAGGGTAGCAAATTTCATTGCGACCTTTGGCCAGATTCGTGTCTGTTACTCGTTGGTATTACTGTTTTGCGTAATCTAGCTTTCACCCAATGATGTTGTAATCCACTTTCGCTTGCGCAACCACACTCTGCAGGTTAATCATTGTGCTAGTGAGAAATGATTACGGTAGTAAAAATAATTTTCTTTTATAGTTACGATAAATACGGGCGACCGACAGGTCCAGAGGACACATCGTAATATAAGAAAACCCGTTGAAAAGAAAAAGTGAGAACCTACCGCTGTTACGTTGCAGATTCCTTCGATTAGAAAAACGAATCATTGAAGCCGTTGCGGCTATAAGCAATATGTGAGAATTACATTTAGTAATCACATTAGTTTCATCACAATTTAGAACCACATACTCTTTTATTTTCCATAATTTAACTCTTACACGACAAATACGACCTGCTGGGCATAGGTTGCTGAACTTGGAAAAACAGGATTACAGTAAACATGAAACCGTTTAAAGAGAACAGCCTCATTACTGACCAAAAGGCTGATTCGTTGAGCAGACAAAACCATTTGAGAGACAAGACAAAGAAAGCGAATTTTCATATAGAAGCATCCAATTATAAATTTCTTATGGGTAAAATATTGAACAGGAAATGTGCTTGTGGTTGTGAACTTTTGCGTATTCCACGCCAAAGCGTTCAGCGTTTCTGTTCTTCAGAATTGACCATTTCTGAGCTATTTTGGCAGCTGCGCATCACTGGCTTTGTTGGTTTCGGCTTGGTTGTTGGATCATGAAGAAGAGAGAAACAATTCTTCTGTCAGTCTGGCACGGCAGCAGCGGGCTTGAAAACTTCCAATGTACGTGTTACAGCAGATAATGTAACGCGTTTGTACTCTGTCTGTTGTTCCTGATGAACAAAATATTTCATTTCGATGTCTGCCTCCAACAACAGTCAGATGAAATTAATTGAATTTCTTCACTAAAACCAATTGAGGCTGATTTATTCCCTCTGATGGCAAATTAGCCAGGCGAGCTGAGGAATTTATTTAATTTTGCTAGTTCGAATTCTCTCGCCGGTTCACGCATGCAATTGACTTGTGACACGTCCAAAATATCACCATCAGGCTGATCCCTCAATTTGTCGACCATGGCTTTAATTTCAGTTGAATGAAATCAGATTGTAAATCTGTTTTTTGCAGACTGTAAATCTGCCTAATATCCTATCTGTCTTTTATAAGCTGACGTTTTCTAGATGAGGTCCCTTAAGATTTAGTCACAAATTAGATGACCATGAACGAGTACATATTATGTTTAACATGATAAAAAATAAAACAAATAAACAACAACTAGAATGCATTGCATAACGAAAGCACAAGACTACAAAGACAGCCATTACTATCGCAAGGGCAAAAAGAGTTAAAGTTAATGTGACAGTTTTCATGTGATAAGTTTGGCAAATTTAGCCAACTTTGACCTCAACCACTTCAACGGATCTTTCGGCCATTCGACAATCGTCGTTTTCTGCAATGACCAGAACGAACTCTCGCAAATAGCTTTCCACATCACAGGAGTAGACGATCTGTGAGGAGCTCACGGTAGAAACACCAGCCAGCCCAGCACAACACGAACCATCGTCCCACATTGCCTTGCTTTCTTCCCTCGCATCTTGGGATAACGTTCAAAATTACAACTTCGCAAACATCATTACTTAACAACATCATTTTTCCACGTACATTAAAAGACTTATAGTCAAACGGACGGCATTAGCAGTGGTTAGTGAAGTTGATCTTCTTGATCTCCTTCGTTTCCTCATGGAGATCGGTTGTATTAAGAGAAAAGTTTTGGCGGTGGCTGGCATCCGTTTTTGGTACTGATTGGCCCGGTAAAGTTGTGTTGCAGTTCCCGTCGCTAGCACTGGACGAATCATGGTTTTCTGACGGTTTCTGTTCATCCAGTTCCTTTTGTTTGTGTTCCTTCTTCCACTTCATTCTCCTGTTCTGGAACCAGATTTTAACTTGTCGCTCAGTAAGTCCAACGTACTGAGCCAACTCAATGCGTCTGCGCCTCGTCAGGTATCGGTTGGTGAAGAATTCTTTCTCCAGTTCCAGAGTCTGAGATCTATGATAAGTTTGACGACCGCGTTTTCGGGGACCTTCGGGACCGCCAACGACTAAAATTTGCACATTAGCATCGTTAATTAAAGAAATATGCAAAATAAGTACAAGCATTCTCGACGCATGACACAGGTGACGTGTTAACTCGTATTTGGAACGTTAATAATGTTTGATCACTTTAAACCCCATCGCCGCCGCCACCTTGACAGTAGGGTAACTGTAATTCAGCCATGTTCGTTCATTTAGTCATAGAGTAGACTCGCGATATGACTTCAGTACTGAATTCCGGCAGTAGACATGTTCCTAATTATGACTTAATTAACAGAGAGACTGTGAGAATGTCACGACGGCGGCCCTCTGTGGAAGGTCAATGTGGTGTTCGTGCTTCAGCTATTGATGCTCAACTTGTAGTGTATAGCACTCATGGATTAACGGGAAATCGGTCATCACGGTAGTAAAGTTTTTCTTGCGGAAAAATACTGACCACCATTAACTGATTGAGACGATGGAAGCTGCCTGCCCATGGCTTTGAACTAACCGCCGCCCAATAAATTACGTTAACCTTCAATAGAGGTTTTAAAAATGATGGCGAATCCGTGGCGGCATCCCCTTTTCAAGAGGCATAACTTTAGCAAATTGATATAATGGTCGCGGCGCCATGCCATTAATTCTGGCGAACATTCGAACGCGCCTCCACAAGCCGGAAAGTTGGCCACTGTACAATAATGTGTCGCTTTTTAGTCACAGTTGAAAGTGGGATGATGGCTTGACCACAGTAAGTTGTCCATTCGCAGGTTTCAACCGGATCTGAGACAATGACGCATCGCTTTAAAGGCTGTACAAAACGATCATAACGACGCGGTTTTACCAGCTTTATTTGAGGCCGCCACCTGCAGTCTGACAATTATCGACACCTAGCCAACAATGGTTGGGTAACCGAGCTTCCTCAACCGATCATTACCGACCATACACCACCTTTAATGTCACGCTATTCTACTGTTCCGTTGACCTGTGTAAAGGCGCCGCACCTGTCTTCTGGTGGGCAGACCCCTACTACTATAATATCACTTACTGTAATCGCCTAGTGATCTCTCGGCCTTTTCCGGCCAGTACCTACAGTAGCATGCGTGTCAATCATGCAGCACACGGAACAAGTAAATTACTATATAGCAACGTCAACATTGAAAGTGGACCCGTAATTGTACTTACACGATCGAGATATCCATGCGTACGGTGGGTATCCTCCGAGCCCCATCAGCTGTGTGGGCATGCTTTGAGCCGTAACACCGGGACTGCCAAAAAGCATGGTGCTTTGATGAGACGGGTTGGGGTACGGATTTGCGGCACCAGAAAAATGACTGTACGGGGCCACGCCGGTGCCCGTTGCCAAACATGAAGCATTGTAAGAATGTGCCGCCGCGACATGGTACGCCGTTGCATCGTTATCCACGCCGTTCGCCGCAGGATTGAGATTCACCTGAGAGGTTCCTAAGGTGCCGTTGGCATTGTTTGCCGTCAAAACACCGGCTTGAGCATTGGCCGCTGGTGAACTGTCTCCGAATCGGTCGTAGCTAAACGAAAATTAACCGGCGTAAAGTAATGCATGCTCGTCTGAAGTCAACAGGGGTCGGTTACCTGGCGGTACGCAGTCCGTACGGATAGTAGAAATGGTTCCATTTGTACTGGTCAGTGGCTGCGGCAGCGGCCGATGCTGCCCCAGGCTGGGTGCCTACCAGGAACGACTGCACGGACGGGCCTGCGGCCGACGCGATGTTGGCACCAACGTTCGACGCGGCGGCAACGGCCGAATTGTACTGCTCCTGACTACCGTTCGATAGGTCCGAAGGGAAATAAGGGTTATGCGGCTGATAGAATGAGCTCATTCTCTCAGGCAATTGCGAACGGTTTAAGACTTTTCCACCTATACGGTGTGTCGTAAAATCGCTTTATGAATCTCCGCTCTCGGCCAAGCCAGTGGAAAAGGCGTTTCTTCGGCGCACAGGTGCAAAGCGGTGTCTTTTGATCTTTGTTACAGTATGCTGCACAACTCCACAAATCAAACGCAGGACTTGGAGAATCTGAAAACAGCTAATTTATTATTAAAACATTCGTCGCATCGTCTAACTGTTGCAGCTGTCATTCAATGTGAGATGGTACGCGATTGCCAACCACCATCTAACTCTCTTAGAGAACGAGTTGTGCGTAAGGTACAACGCTGCTTGTCAGCTACACGCGCTATTCAAAAAACTCATGCTGCTGCAGTTAAGTTATGTTGCGGCTGCGGTTGCAGTGGAGGCGGCGACAGCGACGACGACAAGTGCACACGGCGACAAGGTCCCCATACAGCGCATAACCACCCAAGGATCCCGCCGAAAGGTCGCATGACAAGTCCGTTGCTCAGTGCTTAACTTTCATGAGTTAAATAAGGGTACCAATGGAAACAGCGTACGATATCAAAAACAGACTCAACCGTGCATTGATACAGAATGGGCACTTTAGTATCAGTTAAAATGTTTGGCGTTACATTAGTTTGAAAGCAAGCGAATTAGTTAATTATCCTAATGAGCTGTATTTGCTTCTGTCTTGGTTAGTCAAACGGCAGAAAACAGTATTACGAAAGACTTTCTTTGTTTCTCCTTGTCATTTTCATAAACGTATGCCTTACGGACACCATTGGTTAAGTCATGACCATAGATCAATCACTTGCAATCATGTAAACTCAAGTGTGAGTTGTTCCTCACAATATGAAACGTCTTTGCTGCTAATTACAAACGTTGTCGTGCCGCAATTAAATGCTGCTAGGTTGACAAGACTTTCTATGGGAGCACTTTCCATTAAGCTGTTCTTTTATGTGTCATTCATTCATGTAGTCGTCGTTGTGATCGAAAGCTTGTATGTTAATTACGTACAGAAATACCATACAGAGCGATTGGCTTGCAATGGAGGTGACCTTTGATAGTGGATTCGGTTAGATTCATGGCAAGATTTACGAGTGCAGAAAAGTTTGTTTAACAAAGATTGGTTTAAGCATAACGTTCTGAAACTACGATGAACACAAAGGTCACGGCGAAGATCTCACATTTTGCACATTAGCATTTATTGCATGCTACTCGCAGCACTGAGAGTAGGCACCGGCGAGCGAAAAGTGACGGCTGCGACGCTGAACAAGCGGCACGATTTCATGGACTAAGGGACCAACAAGAAGAACATAGACGAAAGGACCGACGGAGGGACGAACGAAAACGATTTAATTAAAATTTTAGCAACTTGCATATCTTTTGCTTGGCTAATACTGGGCCATTGCTAATGAAAAGTCAAGAATGCAGATTGCCAATTAATCAGAATTCCTCTACACAGAGAGTGAGGCATCGCCAATAGACCAGCGTGGCTTGACGCAGGCAGCACCATTGCAATATTGCGTGCGGCGTGGGACTGGGACCAAATGGTCACCATCTCTTTGCCACTAGAGCAAGACGTTTCCACACAGGAACGAAAATCTTCATTAAACTGTCACACTGTTGGCTTCTAATTTCATTTGAGCGGGTCGCCAGCACATCGTAATACATTAACGACCGACACATAACACTTCGCGCTCGTAAATTTGTCTACCATCAACCAGTCTCAGAGCGCGACGACGATTCAGGCAGCCAGTGTCACGTTCCTGATGCGGTTGTGTCTCGAATCAGCAGGAAGTCTTCGTTGTGTCGACACCGGAGGAAAATTGAACTCCCGAACGCTTTACGACTGACGTCATTACGATCTGCGCTGAAACACACAGACATGGAACATCGTCTACGCGAAAGACGTGCAAGGTAGGTGGGGTCAGCGGAGATCAACCGTTTGGTAGCCGACCTGATGCTGACATTGACTTCATGCAACAACTGTTTCGCTAATAGGATAAGGTTGTTTTTTCGAAAAATTACCGACTCCAGATAATCGACATCTCGTCGGTAGATTCTCTGCTAACGATATTAACGAAACAAATCTACCGCTGACTCGTTTTTATCGCCTTATTTGCTAACGAGCCATTACGAAAAAGCCTCCGATCATACATGAGAGATTAATCCTATCATGAAATATATTTCACGCAATATAGAAGCAATTCGCCCACAGATAAGCTCATCTGTTATCTGACATCAGGATCGTTTACAATGCAATAAAAGAATCATAAAATTCATTATCTCTCAAATAAAGCCGTAATCGATTGAAAGCGAGGATCATGCCAAAGGCACTACGACCTTGCATCTGCCCAGAAATTCCAAGTCCCTGAAAAATGGACTAAATGCATTCACTTCCTGGACGGTGTGAAATCAGACGAGTCTTAATGGGTCATGCGTCAAAGAAATTTTGTGCAAGTCAAGGCTTACGACAGCCGCACTCTATGAAGTAGAGAAACAATTAGCGTCTACTATCACCGCCGTGGTCAGAAACAGTCAGTGGCCACCGGGGTGTAGGTTGTTAATTTAAGGTAAAAACGCGTTGGCGGCAGTTTGTCTTGGCAGTTGACCATCGCCGCAGTTATCACCAGTCCGTCTGGGTGCGGGCTTACATAAAGTTGGGAAATAAAACAAACCTGTTTCAGTAGGAATAATCCGTAAATTGTCCTTTTATGATTGTATAATGGGTAATTAAAAAGAAAATCGTTACCTTGATGCACTCATATTCCGGTGCCAAATCACCCGCCAACTTTACAAGCGCGTCTACAGCAATAAATGACGCCTATGCAGCGGCAGCAGCGATCATCGCGCGCACTTAGCACACGGACGGCAGGCGGACAGGTCTTTGGGCAGGCCTATTAAGGTGTGCCATAGGCGCATGAAAATATTGTCCGGCCCAGAACAACGATACATCGCCCTGCGTACAACGCGCGTTTATTGCCTCATAAAGAGGGCCAATCGTTCGAAGCCCAAACAATCATATTTCACAGCTAACATTATTCGGCCGCGCGTTGTCGGTGCTACGAGTGGACCAATAAAAGTGATTTACGTTTCTCATTACTTTACAAAACCAGAACTTACTTCCAAGTACGAACGTTATCTGGCGTTAGTGTCTGCCGTCTGTGTTTGTGGCGGTCGTCGTCGTCGTCTGCGAGCGCCGACCAAGAAACTCTTACTGTTCTTAGACTAAGAGAGACTTTTCTTAGAACTTTCCCAACACGCCAGGATTTGTTTTCGATCACTGATGTCGGCAACATCAAAGGGCCAAGCGAACCTGTTTGCCAATGGCAGATAGAGCCATAAATCACGTGGACGTGGCTTGAAAAATCTATACGCCTCTAGTTTGTCGAAATGGTCTTCTGCTCACTCAGGTAAGTGCGCAGCGGATGGCTAACCAAACCAAGTAACAACACAGAACACAGCACTGCTGCTGCGGCTCACACTGGTGACTCTTCGACGAAGAACAACGACGAAAATGTCTCCTTGACGCCGGCCTCTGGTCCCACTTCGCTGCCGCTACCGTACGATAGCGGGTAAAGCGCTCAGCTAATGGACACGAGCGCCCACCGTAGACAGTTTCGACTTGCCACTGTGCTAAGAATTTCCTTTGTCAGCGCGAGGCGAAAAATATAAACAAAATTGTTCACAAGAACCGGTAGCGTACCGCTTTCGGTCAGCCAGAGCGACTTGACGCGCAATCACTTTTGGATATCTGAACGCTGTGAGGCGGATATGACCAATGGCGGCTTCCGACGAGGACGCTGAGGTGCGTGAGGAGCTCTGATGGACGGTGGCGCCTCACATCGACCAAGCAGCAGTTCATCGATTCGAGATCTTCGTTGGTTCGCGCCGACAATCTGACCTTGGTCGATCCGTGCACAGGGAACGAAAACCGATCAGCTCAGGAGACACCCCCACCAACATTCGGCGGGCTACAGATCTTTGACGTCCAGCTGCAGTCCACCGTAAGCGGTCTACTGTTTTGCCGTTCCGTTGTTCTTTTTAGGAAACTAATTAAATAACATTTAGCTCTAAGTTGTCTACTT